TCTTTCTTTCTTTCTTTCTTTCTTTCTACTCAGTTTGCCTGCCTCCTGTATTTTCAGAAAAGTTTTTTCTTTTACATTAGAGATTCTTAAGCATCTGATATTCTGTATCAGTTTTCCTGCCCATGTAAATTCTATGTCAAGTCTTTTGACATTTTGAATATTTCTTCCTGTCAATCCCTTTTATGTCTTTTTGAATCAGTCACACACTGATGCCCATACTCTGCAATACTCTTTGATTTCATTTGGGTAAATGGTATCATAGAGGGTGGCTCTGACCAGGACATCTTACATGTTTTGGCTATGAGAGTTGTATACTGCCCTTAATCCACACGTGTAGCTGATACAGACTAGCATTGAGATTGTCAAAACTGATGAGGGGATTTAGACACATGACCCCCATAATGGGAGCTATGTGTCTAGATCCCTAGACAGCTTGGACAATCTCAAACTAGAGCTGCATTTAACCCAGAGGTTTCAGTTTGCAGGGGTTCACATAAACCCTCGTGGTTTTGACTCTGTGAGTCTCACACCCCTTTGTCCAATTCTCCCATAATTACATATGTGCAAATCTCATTGTCTGGTAAGCTTCCCATTGACTGGGAGTGTGGATAGGGCACCAGCGTTTTACCGCAGTGTCTTCTAACCCTGGTCCTAAAGTCTACATCCTGTCTACACTACAGCTTCCAACACAGTGACCACTGGTTAGGAATTATGGATCCCATTCCTGGCCAGTGTAGCAAGGTCCTAGAAGTTCTGTACAGTGTGAAAACATTCAGAGTTTGATTTAAATCCACCAAAGCTAAGGTGATTCGGAGATAAAATAACTAGGGCATTGGTCTTTTTTCCGGCCTTCTGAAGAGGGGAAAATGTCACTCTAAATGGTGATCTATCCACAAACTTCAGGATTTTGTAATATTTTATACCAAATAAATTGTGCTATAATGCAATATAACACTATACTACAGTTTACATGGCTGTTAATGCATGGGCCATCATGAAATAAAATTAATTTAATATTGTGGAGGTGAAAAGTGACAGCCTGGGTGAAGGAAGCCTCCTCTCTCTCTTCATAGACAGTATGGTCAATAACTGCACAAGTTCACCATTCATTCATTCACTTAGACTGTTGTAGTGCCAAGAAGCCTTACTTTCATTGGAGCCCCACCATGTTCGATATGGAAGAGCCACATAGTAAGTGATAGCCCATATGCCAAAGAGCTTGCCGTCGGAAAGACGCGGGTGTAACAGGTGGATGAGACAAGCAGTAGATGATGGAGAGCGGAGAGCAGGCTAACAAGATACTTTTGCACAGACTAGCTGTATATGACCTGTGCACACACAGCCTTCTCCCTGAGCTGGAGTGACTTGGCAAAGGGTGGCTTACCTTCCATGCCAACTGGTCCTCAGTCTCAGGTTATCAGGAAGAGAGTCAGATAGAACGATTTGTGATCTGCCAGGACACCAGTCCACCAAGAGCTGCACGGAGACTAACAGCTGAAGAACTATCAGATAGTTAACAATTGTCAGTCACTTCTGTCCTAGGCTGGATTGAACTGGGAAGATAGAGCTGAAAGAGTCCATTGGCCATTTCCAACCCTCTGAGCTACTATCCAGTCCCTTGTGAAATCAGCCGTCTCATGAACATTCTTCAGTGGCTCTTAATATTTAAAATGATATCTATATACATTTTTTTTCAGATTCTGATTTCTAGAGACTGAACTGAATTCTCTCACTGTGCTGTTTTGGCCTTGGTCCCATTGGCTGTGTTATGATGTTTTTGATCTCTGTAAGTGAACCTAGTTTAGTTGATTCATCCTGTGCATTTAATTTTGATGTTTACATAACAAGGTTATATAATTGCACAGCAAGAGTCCAGAGGCAGGATCTAGAATTATAACAGACAGCAGTATTAAAAATTCTTATGTGAAGTACATTAAAAACAAAGTTGTTAAGCTTTACTTTATCTCAGAGGTCTGGGGAGCTTTCAACTTGATTTGGAAAAAAAAATCAAAGCTGCTGGCATTTAAGAACCACTGTATTGTCAGGATTAAATTACAAATAAGAAACTGGCACCTCACTAGATAAATATATTGACTAGGTAATTTGAAAGGAGGAAGTAGTGGAGACAAGATGATTGCTTGACACAGAGAAAAATAGAGGCTACCAAGGAAGTCAGTTTCTCAGAGGAATTATATGTTCCCAAGTAAGTTACTGAAATGAAGGCCCTTTGATCAAACTGCTGCTAAATTCCTTTATTACAACTAACCTTGGGTTTGTAAAAGCCCCTGGCAGAATGCTGGCCCTATCCAAACACTACTACTAATAATAACAACTGAAAGAGGATAACCATACATAATTATTTGGGGGCTATTTGAACCAGACCTATCCCTTGTTCAGGTAGTGTAAAAATATAGTGCAAACCTCCTCCCTAACTCAGACTAAATGCTGAACTCCTCTGAAGTTCGAAAATATCTGATAAATCACTTCCCTTTTTAAAACATCCCATATTCTTCTGCACTTCCTGCTTTCAGATGGGATCAGAAATGTCATAGGAAGTTGTTCTCAGAGCATTTCTGACCAAACAGAATCCAGGAAATAGTTGAAATCTTCTAAAAAAATGGTTTTCCATCCTGATTCCCACCCCGAAGAGGTTCCAGAAAGCATAGATGTGAGCTTTCCAATCTGTGACAGGCCCTGTTATTCCTTGACTTTAGCAAAGCTTTTGATACAGTCTCCCACAGTATTCTTGCCAGCAAGTTAAAGAAGTATGGGCTGGATGAATGGACTGTAAAGTGGATAGAAAGCTGGCTAGATCGTCGGGCTCAATGGGTAGTGATCAATGGCTCCATGTCTAGTTGGCAGCCGGTATCAAGTGGAGTGCCCCAAGGGTCAGTCCTGGGGCCAGTTTTGTTCAATATCTTCATTAATGATCTGGAGGATGGCGTGGACTGCACCCTCAGCAAGTTTGCAGATGACACTAAACTGGGACGAGTTGTAGATACGCTGGAGGGTAGGGATAGGATACAGAGGGACCTAGACAAATTAGAGGATTGGGCCAAAAGAAACCTGATGAGGTTCAACAAGGACAAGTACAGAGTCCTGCACTTAGGATGGAAGAATCCCATTCACTGCTACAGACTAGGGACCGAATGGCTAGGAAGCAGTTCTGCAGAAAAGGACCTAGGGGTTACAGTGGTCGAGAAGCTGGATATGAGTCGACAGTGTGCCCTTGTTGCCAAGAAGGCTAATGGCATTTTGGACTGTATAAGTAGGGGCATTGCCAGCAGATCGAGGGACGTGATCATTCCCCTCTATTCGACATTGGTGAGGCCTCATCTGGAGTACTGTGTCCAGTTTTGGGCCCCACACTACAAGAAAGATGTGGAAAAATTGGAAAGAGTCCAGCGGAAGCAACAAAAATGATTAGGGGTCTGGAGCACATGACTTATGCGGAGAGGCTGATTGAACTGGGATTGTTTAGTCTGCAGAAGAGAAGAATGAGGGGGGATTTGATAGCAGCCTTCAACTACCTGAAAGGGGGTTCCAAAGAGGATGGAGCTAGGCTGTTCTCAGTGGTACCAGATGACAGAACAAGGAGTAATGGTCTCAAGTTGCAGTGGGGGAGGTGTAGGTTGGATATTAGGAAAAACTTTTTCACTAGGAGGGTGGTGAAGCACTGGAATGGGTTACCTAGGGAGGTAGTGGGATCTCCTTCCTTGGAGGTTTTTAAGGCCTGGCTTGACAAAGCCCTGGCTGGGATGATTTAGTTGGGGATTGGTCCTGCTTTGAGCAGGGGGTTGGACTAGATGACCTCCTGAGGTCCCTTCCAACCCTGACATTCTATGATTCTATGATTCTCACAGTAATGTGGATGAGCTAAATGGAAAGTGCAGACTAATTAATACCCTTGTCACTAAAGCTGGTCAAATAGCAGAAGAAAGCATTCAGCATGTAAACCACACAATGGAGACTGGTGGTGATAGTGGCCAAGTAACACATTGGCAGAACACCATTCGACGGCTCTGTTCCCTGATGCGCAAATTATCAAAGTGGCTGGGCAGCTAAGGAGAGCTAAGAGCCAGTTTGTGAAACTGAGAAAACATGGAAAATAATTGCATGTACAGATGGATCCAGCCTGAGATTCTGTCACTTTGAATTAACACTGGCAGGCACCTGAACCAGCAGCATTTGGAGAGGAATTCTTTGCCTATCACCACAGCTACTTCTGCAAGCGAGACGGTGGCAGTTAGTCTCCAGGGGGAAAAAAATACAGTCAAAGGGAAGCTGGTATTTAAACTTCGCTGAGTGGGAGAGAAAAGGTGTTGTTATGGTAACAAATTGCTTGTATTCTCCAAAGGAAGCTCTAGTTTTGTTTAATAGGGAGGAAATGCAGAGAAGGCAAAAGGATAATATTTCAAAAAAAATTTAATGAGACATGAATTGCACATTCTCATTCTGCTGGAGTGTGTAATGGTTCAAGAGGAAGGGAGCCTGGCATTTCTAACCACGTCTTAAATACAGTGCATGCATGTTCCTCCTGCTGGCAGCTCTGCACCGTGGACTGCATGGAACCAAACTTTAGTGACTTTATTCCTTTTCATGTTGCATTTTCCAAACCAGGCTCATGTTTGTAAAATGCACAGAACAGAAGGCACCTCCGGGGGAGCCAGTGGTAGCACCTTATTGTTTTCAGAAGAGAGAGAGGGGCTGGTTCCTGCCGAAGAGCGCAAGGAAAAGCCATGGAGAATTTGACAAAACAGCACGGTGTAGATTCCCATTACTGTCTTTGCGATGCTTCCAAATATTTCCCCCCTGAAATAAGCACTTAGAGGGGAATGCGAAATGACATGCTATGTGATAATGGTGAGACACTGGAGGCCAAATGAGAGATTGCTGGAGGTGGCCATGAGGAAAGCATGGGCTCACCTACGGTGACCAGATGTCCTGATTTTATACGGACAGTCCCGATTTTGGGGTCTTTTTCTTGTATAGGCTCCTATTACCCCCCACCCCGTCCCGATTTTTCACATTTGCTGTCTGGTCCCCCGAGGCTCAGCTCAGCACTGCTGATGTAAAAATGCTTTTCTAGTTCTGTGGAGACAAAAGTTCCTGTGCTAAGACTGTCGTCCCCGACACATTGTGGCACAGTAACATAATGCTGGGCGTATTGCTAAACAATCACACAGGCCTTCAAGCAGTCTAGCTGCACGTTTGCTTAACAGATTTCAGTTGAACAGTTTCGCCTGTCCTCTTCTCCTCTGCACAGGCGCTTACTTGTCAGAGGAAGGTGGCAGCTTGATAAGGAACATGATAATTAGGAACGTGCCAGAAATCAGGTATTAATAGAAGCACTATTAGAGAGTTTATGGATAATTTAAGATGCAGCACATTCTTTCAGTGAGTGCCTTGTCTGTTTAAGAGCAGTAATTGCCTATTACTTTGCAGCTTCTGATGTGCTTGGCTGCATGACACATGAAGATACAGCATATATTTAAAGAACTAACACTAGTTCAAAGTACCTGCTTGCAATTTTAAACGCAAGAATCCAATACACTTCTAATGGCAGCAAGGAGATTGGAAAAAGAAAAGAAAAGGAAAAAAGCACATACAAAACAGCAAATCAACAACAGCCAGGTAAGTGCCCTATAGCAAAACACTGGATGTAGCTCTTATTAACGGCTTAAACTGCAGAAGACAGTTTTGCTTATCTTTAACTGTGATAAATACTGCCTCGCCTTTACTATATGCCACTTGTTTGGGCCCCACAGCAAAGATGCTTTCTTGCGCATTGATCAAACAGAATGTGGTTAGTGGTTAAGGGGAAATAAAAGAGCTATTGCATACTGAGTAAGCCCTACAGCACATTACTTGTTTACCTTCTGATATGTCTCTAGAAATGCTCTAATTTGATTCTTCACAATGTGATGGAACTTTGATCCTGGCTGTGTATTAACATAAAGGAAGATCTTTTATTTCTGAACCAAAAGGTGAGTGTTGTCTCATCTTCCCCTAGCCCAGGGGTTCTAAAACTGGGGGTCGGGACCCCTCACGGGGTCGCGAGGTTATTACATGGGGGGTCGCGAGCAGTCAACCTCCACCCCAAACTCCCTTTGCCTCCAGCATTTATAGTGGTGTTAAATATATAAAAAGTGTTTTTAATTTATAAGGGGATCACACTCAGAGACTTGCTATGTCAAAGGGGTCACCAGTAAAAAAGTCTGAGAGCCACTGTCCTAGCCCCTGCAGTATGAGCAGCTCATGGCTGAGTGGTGATATTACCTGTCAACAACCCAGCCAATCCCATGTAAATAGGGAAGCCAACTGGATGTGATATTGGAAGAGGCCTCAATTCTTTGTGTTTCATTCATTTGTATGGAGTAATCCTATTGGGTCAAATGCACTGAGTCAGTGGGGCATGTGAGTGGGAACTGGACACACATTTTGAAGGTTAATAGAACCCTGATTTGCATAGGCAACCCCCCAAGCCCTGTTTGCACAGGTGGAGGTCTCTAGCTTTTGGGTGACACCCTCCCTATCAAAATGGGTGGAGACACAGTAGACACTGGGAATTCACTCAGGGCGGTTTGAGAAATAATAACACAGGGTGCCTCATGCACGTAGGCGAAGATTTTCAAAAGCTTCTAATGATTTTGTAGTGCCCAGTTTGAAACCCCATGAAGGAGTCTGAGGAAGGGGTCTGATTTTCAGAAAGTGGTGAGCACTTGCCCTCTGACAATCAGCTCCCTGTCCGACATCTGAAATTGGGCCTCTAAATATTGTGGCATCTGAAATCAGTAGTCTCATGTGCAAAGCTTCAGCGTAGTGACAACAGCTCATTTCCACGGTGCCAAAGCTCAGTGTCTCTGGCGCACTGTTCCTGGCTCTTGACAGCACAATGAGCCCCTTGCACTTCTACAAGCACCAACACATTTAAATAAAAATAAAAATCAGGTTTGACCATTGTTTGCCTGTGGAAGAGTGGGGAGGTGTCCCCTTGACCCCAGAATTGCCACCCCATGTGACAGTGCCCAGTGGCATGAACCCTCCTCACATGTTGCTGTTCACTTGGTTGAATCATTGCTTTTCTTGCAATTAAAGGAGGGACCAGATTTTGAATTAGGGGCTATGGCTGAGAGTTGGAATTAAAACCAACTCTTTAAATGCAGTGGGGCAGGGAAAGGGGTTTTGTTAGGTATCACAGAAGCCAAGGCAAAAAGAATTCACTTCATGGACGCCTGGACACCACTTATTTCCATTTCTTTCCTTTTTAAAATAAAAATACCGTAAAAAACATTTGAAAAAAAATCCAAAAAGCAAGTGAGTGCAGGTGAGTCTCTGGGGATAATGGCGAGAAACTTGAATGCAGCTACCAAATGAAGTGCAAAGCTGACAGACATGAAGAGCGTCAGCTCAGCCTGAGTATATGAAGTTTCTCACCCGTTCGACTTTTGTGTTCATACTCATCACTCATCGTTTTCTGAGTCACTTTTCCTTGCATGGAATTGCAATGTTATGCCATCTCGATGGAGCAGCTGATCATTTCCCACCTCTGGATATGCATATAGATATAGTCCCCTTCACGCAGCAGGCTGCTTCTTCATTAGGAAAGATGACAGGCAGCCCAAAGTATTGCACTTCTCAACAAGCTTTCTGGTAAGGGGGTAGGAGTAGGTTGGAGTAGGGTTCTATCTGCCAGCTGCCAAAATGATGGGACGGCAGCCTCAGCAGAATGATTGTAGACTCATATCATATGTGAGGAAAGGAATTTTAGGCTGTGAAAAGCTTTTCTACAGGTAAAATGAAAGTTCACATTTTTTCAGAGTTCCCAGAGCTCTGCCAAACTCTGCAATAAATCAATCAATCACTTTTTTCATCTCCAGTCACACTTCTCAGGAACCTTGTTCAATTGTTATCTCCCGGGCTTTTAATTTACTGCACGTGCCCTTTGGTATGTTGATCTTTGTGATTACATGATGAATTGAATTTGATTTAGATATAATTGTTCTAATTTGTGCACCCAGTTACTTATCATTTCTACATCATGGATTTTGGATCACATCCAACCATTACAATTAAGGTTTGTACAGTGAGTAAATGATACAGGAGTGCTTGAACACAGGATCAGCAAAAAATGCAACTGAGATTGCAAAACCCAAATTATTTTTGTGATAATTTTATTCTTGAGAATTTCAGTTAATTATTGTGTATCTCTCTCTTTCTTTTAATGAGTTCATTTGTTTTGAATGGTTTGCCTTCCCACTGCTGTGAGTCCAGAGAGCAGAAATAGCAGTCAAATTCCAGTCAGAATGGAAAAATACTTTCTATTATCCAAGTCCTCATATGAGCAACATTCTTTGCTTTCATCTTCAGTCTGAAATATTTTTCATACTGTCTCGGTGGTGATGAAAAATCCTCCTTAAATTCAGGCAGAGCAGAGGTGAGAATTCAGGCTTTAGGAATTGCACAAAACCCCAAACATATACACCAAGCTGAATTGAATCAGTCCTTGGATGAGAGACCTTCAGGAAAGTAAAAACAACGAGGAGTCCTTGTGGCACCTTAGAGACAAAAAAATGTATTTGGGCATAAGCTTTCGTGGGCTAGAGCTCACTTCATCAGATGCACTTCAGGAAAGTGGTAGTGATAGCACTGGACCCTTGCTACTGATACTGGCCCAGTGTCTCTGTTGGGGTGCAGAGTGGTGCTGCACGTGGTGCTGTCTTTCTGGATGAGATGAAGATGCCAATGCACAAAATCTGATGGTTTATAGGCGTTGAATAATCTCCAGCATTTTTCATGAGCTGTGGTGCTAGCTCCATTGCCCTGGAAAAATCCCAGTGCAGGTTATTTTATTCTGCCTCTCTAAAATCCCACTGCAGTCTCAGCTGGAATTGTCAGTGCTCAGCCCTTTACACAATCAGGCCGTAAATCACTAACTTTAGTTTTGCCATCTGTAAAATGGGGATAATGATCCTGACCTCCTTTGTAAAGTGCTTGGAGATCTGCTCTGTGTTAGATAAGAGTTAAGGCTGCTGCTGCTGATTAATAGTGACTGCAGGTACATAGCAACTCTGAAAGTTGGACCCTTAGAGTATGTCTACACAGTTATTTTTAGACTGGTAGCACAAGCCTTGCTATCCAAGTCTGTCGACATGGCTGGGCGGTTCGCTGCTGTGGGCTGTGCAGACGTACCCTTATTGGCTACAGTTCATTTCTTCACTCCTTGCCCTAAGCTGAGAGATGAAATAGCTGTATGGTGTGAACACTCAGCTGTACCCCAGCGGTAGCTGCATTTCAGTGCTGTGTGAATTGATCCCTTTATATCCATGATCTGCCTCCTTGCAGGCCCACTTTCCATCCTTAGCAGACTTCCAGCAGTCGCAGCGGGGCCCAAAGGGGTGGGTCATCCTGCCTTTGCATTGTCCCTCTCCCTGCGGGACCTGCCAGGGTGGGGCAGCTTGGAGTTACATCCGGAGCCCCTGCTGGCAGAGACTGCCCAGTGGATGCACTTTTCTGCCCACTTTTGGGACAAGGGCAGTACAAAGTTTACGGGTTTACAAAGTTACCCCTGTATTGAGCCCAGTAACTTGTGCGTGACTAAATCCTATCTTCTAGACAGGTAACCAGTCTGGATCTGAACACGTGATGAGGTAGAGAATCCACCACTTCCTTTGGGAATTGGTTCCAATGGTCAATCACCGTCCTGGGTAACATTTTGGGTCTCATTTCTAATTTGAACATGGCTACGACTTCCAGGCACTGCTTCTTGTTATGCCTTTTTCTACCAGATTAAGGAGCCCTTTTCTATGCAGTATTTTCACCCCCTATTGGTACTTGTATATCGGAACAGCCCCTCTCTTATCTTCTTTTTGATAAGGTAAACAGATTGAGCTCTTTAAGTCTTTCACTGTGAGGCACTTTCTCCAGCCCTCAGATCATTTTATGGCTCTTTTCTGCACCCTCTCCAATCAGAAGCCTTTTGTCTTTATGGAGCCTCCGCTTTGTTTTAGTTTCCTTTAGTTTTTATAGCAATGCCCTGCTTATGGGTGGTGCTATAAAAAGCCATACCTAATAAATAACAATACTGATAAAGGCTTTCACTGTCTCTCCAGTGAGCACAGAGACATGTACTCTGAGGGAGCACTTCATTACTCTGCTGCGTTTCCAAATTCAAGAGCTTTAAATACCTGGCTTCTTAAAAAAAATAGTCCAGGGCTGAGTATTATTTCCCCCTGGGAAACTATCGCACACCTGGCCCTTTCTGTTCAAAACCCCCACGGCAACTCACCATTGCTTGACATTTATTTCTGATCATTCAATCTCTGCCACTCTGGTTTCCTAGTGGGCCCAGAAGTGACAGTGACAGGGCAATCACTGACCGTGATCTCCCAAACAGCCTAGCTGATGAACTTTGATGCACTCAAAGCCGCTGCTGGCATGTCTGAGCGGTTGTTATCAGATAAATTGGTTTTGAAGTATACAACTAGATATCTAGACATACTTTTACATTTAGTCCTTCAATTCAAGTTAATTGCTAACCTCTGCTGCTTCCTGGGCAGGTAGTGTCCTTTATTCACTTCATAATGTATTGCCTTGGCATGTTTCTCTAAACCGCAGTGAGTGAAACAGCTCTG